CATCTCAACCAGATGCTGCAACTCTCATGCCTCCTATCATCATCCTACGAACTTCCTGTTCACTACGTTGGCTCTTCCATCCACATCCGTCAAGCCAAGCTCCGCTGCTCAACTCCTCTTCTCCTCACCAAAATCCAATTCCATGACCTCCCTATTCCTCCTTTTCCTTCTCCCGTCCCCACCTGCGGTGGAGATACTGATTTTCCTGCCCATCTCCAGCCATCCTTCGACTCCTCTCTAGACCTTCGTGAACCTTTTGCCACCCTCATAGACACACTCTCTTCCCAAGCCAAGAAGGTAGTTGTAATCCATGATCCTTTAGTGGCCTTTGCGGTTCAGGATGCTGCTTCTTTACCAAACGTAGAGCTCTACATGTTCCACACCACCTCTGCCTTCTTTTCCTTCTCCTTTGTGTTGGAAAAAAACCGAGAAACCCTCGTTCCTAAAGATTTCCCCGAAGACCTTCCTTCCATGGCAGGTTGCTTTACAGACGAGGTGATGAATCTCCTAACCATTCACATGGAGTTCATGAAACTCCAATCTGGTGATCTCCACAACACATGTAGAGTGATTGAAGGCGAATACATAGATCATCTAGCTCAGAATGATGAACTCAGAACCCTGTGGACTGTTGGACCATTAAGTCATCATCTGGTAGGAAGAATTGAGGAGCAGGGCAACCCCAGTGGGGAAAACGTATGCCTGAATTGGCTTGACAAACAACCGCCAAAGTCAGTCATATACATATCTTTTGGGACCACGAGTTCTTTTGTAAAGGAACAGATTAAGGAACTGGCCGTTGGGATAGAAGAAAGCAAGATCAGATTCATATGGGTGCTCAGATATGCCGATCGAGGAGATGTTTTTGCAGAAGAAGATCAGAGTCCAGAGCTTCCAGAAGGGTTCGAAGAGAGAACGGAAGGAGAGGGAATGGTGGTGAGAGGGTGGGTATCTCAGGCTGAAATCCTGAAGCACCCATCTACTGGAGGTTTCCTGAGTCACTGTGGGTGGGGTTCATGTTTGGAGAGCATTAGCTCCGGGGTGCCAATAGCAGCATGGCCCATGCACTCCGACCAGCCACGGAACGCTACACTGGTGACACAGGTGTTGAAGGTCGGTTTGATTGTAAGGGAGTGGTCACACAGAGAAGAATTAATAACAGCATTGGCAATTAAAGAAGCTTTGAGGACATTAATGGCTTCAGAGGAAGGGGAAACGATGAGGAAAAGGGCAGAGGAATTAGGAAGGGCTGTTCGTCAGGCTACTGAGGAAGGTGGAGTTTCTCAAAAGGAGTTGGAATCCTTCATCAACCATATCACCAGATAGACCCATGAACAAGGGCAATGCACAGTATTTTTCAGTTCATTACTGTAAAAATAAAGGCTAGATTATCTCGGGCCAGGGCTTATTGGTGTTAAGTTACACTATGATACAGGTTAGAAACCAGGAACATCAAGAAGCACAAAGGAACCAAGTTTACCCGTCCTGAACAATGTAAGAAACTTCTTTGATACCATTAAGAGCACTTCAGATGCTTTCTGAAGTACTTCAAGGGCCTTCTGTAACGCTTCGAATTGCTCTTCTATTAGGTACTCCAAATCATTCTCATCTTCCATGCTGCCATTGAATTCTGAGAGTTAGACCGTGCATGCTGGACTGCCGTTATGAGATCCTGTGATTGAACAAGAAAAGGATTGATATTAGGGCAAGGCATTAAAGGATCAAATTAAAAGATCAAATTTTGCCACCAGTTGACCTTTCATTATCTAGTTCAAACCTCCAACAATCACAACTTAAGATACAACAGCATAGTTATCATGTAAACGCAGCCTGTATGTTTGTTTGTTCAATTGTGTCACTGTAGCCAATAATTTTGTTTGTTCATTTGTGTACAGTGCAGAACATAATTTTTGTTTATTTGTTTGCCTGTGTGTGCAGCCCATAATTTTGTTTGTTCAAATTTGTGCGTATGTGCACTTGCGTGCAGAAAGAGTACCTCAACATAAAGCACATCAGACACATTTGGCAGCTTCTTCCTTCTTGGCCGAAAGTCTTTTAAATTATACTCATGTTTATCCTCAGAAGAAGGGTCAATCTCTTCCATCTTGTTATTTAGAACAGTGAAGTGGAGTGCCTTCAGTGTTTAAACCAGCAAGCAGGTATTGTGCAATACGCTCCTCACCAACCAACCACTGAGTCTTTTACGGACCCTGCATATGTAATAAAGTAGCTGAAATAATTAGTAAATTACAGAAACGCCTACAACAGCTTAACTGAGTTGGTACCAGAAACTCCAAAACCTAGATTCTACAGTAGAGTTTGGGGATTCAAATTCCTGCAATGCTAAGCACCACGTTTCTTTTCCACAGAAAAGGTAAATTTCAGAAATGCTATGATGCACCTTCAGAATCCATATTTTTGAAACCCATGCAAAAAATCATTAGAAAATGAGTACATATTCACATCACCATCAGTAAATTTCCAACAAACAATTTCAACAAAATCTCTTAATCTCCCATTTTGCTTGCCACGAATAGAAGATCTACTGTACGTGGAAAATTAATTTTATTGAAGAAGAAATGGACAATTTGCAGAGATTATTAACATTGAAAAGGATGCAAACCTGCAAGAGCTAGCCTTAACACTTTCTCTAAGTTGGGAATGCTTGGCACTAGTATTCCTGGTGTCTCGATGACACAAATGCTTGGCTGATGGGCAATCTGTAAGTTGGAGACACACAAGAATATTAAAACATAAAATTAACCACACAGACTAATAGCTAGTATTTGCAAATAACAAAAGTGTAGTCAACCCCAGTTTGTTTCAAGGAGTACATGATCTAGTGCATGGCACACGCATCTACCTGAGAGGAAAACCTGAGCTCTTGATCTTGTATCCAGCAATATCTTGAGTAACACCAGTCAATGGACCCACAGTGGCTCGCTTCATGTTCCCCTGCACTATGTAAAAAACTCCAGACTTTCAATTGTTCAAGATCAATGACTTTGGGCCAAATCACTGGCAACTAATAACTCAATGAATCTCCACACACATTCGTGCTAACTTAGTATTCAAACAATTGTATCTTAGGACAATGACAGTAGAAAGACGAACAGCTTAACACGAAAGTGGGACAGTGCAATTTGATGAATTGAGTTGACTGAAGTTGATTTCCCAACATTAGGAACACCAACAACCGTAACAAGGAGGGTAGGCTCCCTGGAAATCACTTCTTTTAGTTTGAACTCCACAAGTTCCAGTAGCTGTACTTGAACAATAAAGGAAAAAAAAGGGTATATATAATTATCATTGAAGAATCTAGTAAAAGAGTTACCACATGCAACCAATCACAAAGAGTGAATATCAATGTTTACACCAGAAGAGACTGCATATGACCGATAAACAGGCCCACAGGGGTAGTACCATTGAATGTAGCACAGAATTTAAAATTCTTGGAAATGAAATGCAAACCCAGAAGTTTTCAAAGAGATTGCAAGTGTTCAAAAAACATAGGTAAATCTAACATATACCCACAAATATAAAAAGGAGGACACTAGTAAAATACTGAAACTAAAGACAAGGTTGCAATCTAGAAACTAACCTTGTCTTGTCTACATACAAATCAATGAATTTCTGCGCACAAATTCAATGATTACCAATGGTCCATATACTTGACTTTTGATATTTTTGGGATAGAAACACAGTCCAATTGCGAGCCTAAAAGCAGGCATTTTGGTATAAATTACAATTACAATAGGGCACAAACATAGCAGGTGATAAAAACGCCAGAAAGGTATGTACATATTCTGTTTCCTTTTTATTTTCTCTTTCTTTCATCGTAACAGATGACATAGTTTGGGTTGCTACTTGAAGTATCATGGTTCCGCTATCTATGGCAATAGATTTAGAGCTTCAATTAAGTCTCGAACATCATTTCAGAAGTCATAGATGTTCTGTCACCTTTAAAACTTTTAAACAAATGCTCACGATCAAAACTCAGCAATAAGTTACATATATTGTTTTCAAAAGGACATGACACGTAATGATCAGCCATCTGCTAAATTACGGTTTACCAAAGACTAATTTGATAAGTCTCCTTCGATTAAACTAAGCCATCATTGATCTAAAAATCAAGTTCAGCAATGACTCCAAAACAAGAAGGATCTTTTATGTATAATAAAGTTGGAAATGTATAGACTACATAGGAACCTTCTTTGCCATCGAAACTGACGTGAATTCCTTTATTCCTTTATGTATAACAAAAACATTTTAAAAGATAGTATACTAACCTTTCTAACAGAACTTCTGCCATGTGCATTTATTGGAAGACAATCTTGGTTACATGATTCAAAATATCTTACCCATTTCTACAAAAAAAATAAAACCAAAAAGCTTCACATTGATAAAATATTCAACAACAATCATAAAAACCCATCATAGACACACCGTTCAAGAACAATAATACCCATAAAATAGCAATAGAAATTTTCAATTATACATGGACACTCAAACAATTTCAAAGTAACAGAAAAGATTGGTAATTGAATATTCAGGCACAAGAAGATTGAAATACCAAAATTGAGGATATTGGGGTTAGCTAAATATTTCTTGTTGAGAGCAATAACACGCCTTTTGGCTGAGAGTAGAGACTGTAGCTCTTCATGAGCAGAGGACAATGGAATATGCATGCAAGGAAACAGGAGATGAATATACAGTGGAGAAGAAGAAAAAGTTTCAAGCTTTATAATTTTACTAACTCGGGCGTCTCGGACTCCAATGACGAGGTCGGAGAGCTTGAGGCCTTGGCGGATGACGCGGGTGGCGGCGGCCATGTGGCCGGGAAACCAGTTGATGACTCCTCCCTCTTTTTTGGACGCCATCTCCCCCAAGCCCATTCCTTGCTTCACTACACCCTTCAACCCCATTTTCGTTTCCTTCGTTTACAATCACCAAATGGATAGGTAGAGAAGGTCGTTCATGGTGGAAGTCTGGCAGAACAGAGGCGGAGGCCGCCACAGCCAGAATCAGAGGGATGGGCTGATTTTGAATGCTGCCAAAGCCCAAAGATGTAACCCAAACCAAATGTGAAAAATGGTCTAATGAGCCTGGCCGACTGACCCAATGGGATTTGTAAATATATGAACCCTGGACTCACTTTTAATATAGCGTTGCATGTTTCATTTTCTAGCATTTAACCCCTTTTAATTTATGATAATATCTTAATTAAAGGAAAACTTTTTAATCGCCTTACTAGCAAAAAATTAGACAGAAAAATATCCTAAAACTATATCATTTTAATTAATTCTCATTAAAAAAGAAATGTCATATTTTTAAAACAATAATAACTGTTTTAATCTTTTCTCATGATGATTTATTAAAATAATATAGTTTTTTTTTTCCACTTACTTTGTTTACAAATTTGACTGATACGTACTAATCTCCTTAATTAATATGTTTATTTTACTTGTCTATTAATTTTAACAAAAAGTTCATGGTTCATTTGTTTGCCTTGGAAGTAAGAGAAGAGACAGTTGATTTACTATTTACCAATTATATATATATATAAAAAAAACCTTAATATATTATCAAAACTTTAGACCAAATCTTTAAAATTGTTAAACAGATAATTTCTGATGTACAAGAATTTATTCCATGGTGAAACCTAAAATGAAAGTTTTAAAAATATTTATCTGTATATATAATAAGTAGACTAGTTGTAATAAGATTTTGCATACACCCCATAAAAAATAAATAAAATTTAGGGATAACCAAATCAAATGGAGAATAAAAAGGAACTTTACAGCGAATCTTTGTATAGTGTTTCTGTAACAAATCAACAAAATCATCTTACTGATAGTGATATATAAGCCTTAACAATACGATTGCATTTCCATTATAAATTCATTGATGATATGATTTATTAATGCACTCTTGAAAATATTTTATAAGAATGCAAAATTCCAACACAAAGCAGAGAAATTCAAACCAATTGAGGGGGTCGATAACACATGACATGTCTATATGTATTAGGTCTTTACACAAATTTAGAATAAATATCTGTATATTAGGTAGGTTGTGCTGTTGAAGCTTGTAAATCCAAAAGAAATACAATTAATAATGAAAGGATCAATTACATTTCATACACAAAGTACTTGCTAGTCCAGTCAGTCTGGACTGGTTCCTTAATCCTTCGGGCAAATAGCATCATTACACATGTACTATATTAAGGGTAGAGCACCCCTTTATACTCTAATAAATGAATGAAAAATTATTAGTATATATTTAATTTAATATCTTTTTTAACCCTCATTCATTCTAATCATTAAAAATATAATATAAATACAATCGATTCTTATATTTTATGTGTATGC